GTGTCAGCGTCTGGGTGAAGTGGTGAAACGGAATCAGGCGCAGGACACAGAACTGAGAAAATGAATGGATTTACTAAACAAAAGTAAACCATAACAAACCCTCCACGCAGGGAAGAGCAGAACAACAGCTCACCAAACGACGTAAGACAATGGACAATCACGCACAAACTCAGGAGGGAAAACAGAGGTAATTATAGGGACACAAATAAGCATAATGGGTAACAGGTGCGATAAATAAAGACAAGACTAGTGTAACACAGAAACATCGATCGGTGGCAGCTAGTACTCCGGTGACGACGAACGCCGAAGCCTGCCCGAGCAAGGAGGAGGGGCAGCCTTGGCTGTATTCGTGACAGTGGAGAGACACATGGAACGAGGGGTTAATACGGTAATCAGAGGGGAGTTGTAATCTATAACAAACCTTGTTCAACCTCCCCAGGACTTTAAAGGGCCCCACAAACTGCCGACCCAGCTTCCGGCAGGGCAGGCGAAGGGGCAGGTTTCGGGTCGAGAGCCAGACCCAGTCCCCCGGTGCATACACCGGAGCCTCACTGCGGTGGCGGTCGGCACTCGCCTTCTGTCTCCTAATAGCCCTTTGCAGGCGTACATGGGCAGCGTTCCATGTCTCCTCCGAGCGCCGAAACCATTAATCCACCGCAGCTGCCTCGATCTAGCACTGATGCCATGGTGCCAGGACTGGCTGGTAACCTAGTACACACTGAAAGGGAGACAGGTCAGTGGAGGAGTGGCGGAGGGAATTTTGTGCCATGTCTGCCCAGGGGATGTAAACTGACCAATCCCCCTGCCGGTCCTGGCAATATGACCTCAGAAACCTACCCACATCCTGGTTTACTCTCTCCACCTGCCCATTACTCTTGGGGTGAAACCCTGAGGTCAGGCTGACCGAGACCCTCAGATGGTCCATGAACGCCTTCCAGACCCTTGATGTAAACTGGGGACCCCGATCAGACACTATATCCTCAGGTATCCCGTAGTGCCGGAAGACATGTGTAAACAGGGCCTCCGCGGTCTGTAGGGCAGTAGGGAGACCGGGCAAAGGAATTAGACGACAGGACTTAGAAAACCGATCCACAACGACCAGGATTGTGGTGTTACCTTGTGACTGAGGAAGATCCTTAACAAAGTCCACCGATAGGTGTGACCACGGCCGTTGCGGAACGGGGAGAGGTTGTAATTTCCCTCTGGGCAGGTGTCTAGGTGCCTTGCACTGCGCGCACACCGAACAGGAAGAAACATAAACCCTCACGTCCTGAGCTAAGGTAGGCCACCAGTACTTCCCACTAAGACAGCTCACTGTCCGACTGATGCCAGGATGGCCAGAAGAGGGTGACGTGTGAGCCCAATAGATCAAACGATCGCGAACCTCAGACGGAACATACACACGACCCACTGCACACTGGGGGAGAGTGGGCTCATTGCGTAACGCCCGCTCGATGTCCGTGTCAACCTCCCATACCACCGGTGCCACCAGACAAGAAGCCGGAAGTATGGGAGTGGGCTCCCTGGTCTGCTCCTCTGAGTCATACAGCCGGGACAGAGCGTCTGCCTCAGCATTCTGGGAACCTGGTCTGTACGATAGGGTGAACACAAAATGCATGAAAAACATGGCCCACCTTGCCTGACGAGGTTTCAGTCTCCTCGCTGCCCGTATGTACTCCAGATTGCGGTGGTCAGTCAAAATGAGAAAAGGGTGTTTTGCCCCCTCAAGCCAATGTCTCCAAACCTTAAGAGCTTTCACAACAGCTAACAGCTCCCGGACCCCCACATCATAGTTTTGCTCCGCCGGGCTGAGCTTCTTCGAAAAGAAAGCACAGGGGCAGAGTTTGGGAGGCGTACCCGAGCGCTGAGACAGTACAGCTCCTATCACAGCCTCGGACGCGTCTACCTCGACTGTGAATTGCAAGGAAGGATCCGGATGAGCCAGCACGGGAGCCGAGGTGAACAGCGCCTTCAGCTGACCAAAAGCCCTGTCCGCCTCAGCTGACCACTGCAGGCGCACCGGTCCGCCCTTCAGCAAAGAGGTTATGGGAGCTGCTACCTGACCAATGCCCCGGATAAATCTCCGGTAGTAGTTGGCAAACCCCAAAAATCGCTGAACCTCCTTTACCGTGGTAGGAGTCGGCCAATTACGCACGGCTGAAATGCAGTCACAATCCATCTCGACCCCTGACTCTGACAGGCGGTATCCTAAGAAAGAGATGGACTGTTTGAAGAACAGACATTTCTCAGCCTTAACGTACAGGTCATGCTCCAACAGTCTACCAAGCACCTTGCGCACCAGGGACACATGCTCGTCGCATGTAGCGGAGTAGATGAGAATATCATCTATATACACCACTACACCCTGTCCGTGCAGATCCCTGAAAATCTCATCGACAAAGGATTGAAAGACTGAGGGAACATTCATCAACCCGTACGGCATGACGAGGTACTAATAGTGACCAGAGGTGGTACTAAATGCCGTCTTCCACTCGTCCCCTTCCCGGATACGAACCAGATCGCGCTCCTGAGGTCCAATTTTGTGAAGAAGCGCGCCCCGTGCAATGACTCCATCATACTAGCTATGAGAGGTAGAGGATAGCTGTATTTTATGATTATCTGATTTAGACCTCGATAGTCAATGCACGGGCGTAAACCTCCATCCTTCTTCTTCACAAAAAAGAAACTCGAGGAGGCAGGGGAAATGGAGGGCCGAATGCATCCCTGTCCCAGAGATACGGTGACATATGTCTCCATAGCCACCATCTCCTCCTGTGACAGAGGATACACGTGACTCCTGGGAAGTGCAGCGCCCTCCAATCCCCTCGTCGATGGGGTGGTAATTGAGTCGCCTTCTTTTTACAGAAGGCAAGAGCCAAATCGGCATATTCTGAGGACCCTGATCCGGACGTCCGCGGGTGGCCAACAGGTTATCCAGCCGGATCGATAAATCTACCAGCTGGTCCAGGTGTAGATTCGTGTCCCTGCAGGCCAGCTCCCTACAAACGTCCTCAACGTAGACTGCATCGGTAGTGGTCAATCAGGGCCCTCTCATTCCATCCCGCGCTGGCTGCCAGTGTCCTGGACTCCAGGGCGTAGTCCTGTGTGCTCCTCCTCCCCTGTCTGAGGTAAAACAGACGCTCCCCCGCCGCTCTCTCCTCCGGCGGATGATCGAATACTGCCCGGAAATGGCGGGTGAAATCCTCATAACGTACGGACTCAGCGTCTATTCCACCCCACTCCGCGTTGGCCCATTCCAGCGCTCTGCCCGACAGACAGGAGATGAGGGCGAACACGCTCTCGTATGCCGAGGGAGCTGGGTGGATGGTTGCCAGGTAGAACTCCACCTGGAGCAGGAAAACCCTTACACCCGGCAGCAGACCATCATATTCCCTCGGGAGCGAGAGCCGAATTCCACTGGATCCAGGGTTTGATGGTCTTGATGGGGGAGAAATTAGAGGAGGAGGAAGTGTAGGAAACACACTTCTCTCCCATCGATCCATGGTGTTCACCACTCGATCCATAGCCGACCCTAAAGCCTGCAGCATGGTCGAGTGCTGCTGGATGCGTTCCTCCACCGAGGCGCTGGGATCGGACGTGCCTGCTGACTCCATAGGTGGTGCGTGATTCTGTCAGAGTCTGGGTGAAGTGGTGAAACAGAATCAGGTGCAGGACACAGAACTGAGAAAATTGATGGATTTACTAATAACTTTCTGTATACCAGGTGGTGTGGGTTAACAAACCCTCCACGCAGGGAAGAGCAGAACAACAGCTCACCAAATGACGTAAGACAACGGACAATCACGCACAAACTCAGGAGGGAAAACAGAGGTAATTATAGGGACACAAATAAGCATAATTGGTAACAGGTGATATAAATAAAGACAAGACTAGTGTAACACAGAAACATCGATCGGTGGCAGCTAGTCCGGTGACGACGAACGCCGAAGCCTGCCCGAGCAAGGAGGAGGGGCAGCCTCGGCTGTATTCGTGACAATTGGCCAGTGTTAACTAGTGTTGATTTTTCCTTGTACAATTTATAGTGTTGATTCAGGAGTTCAATTAACACTAAGAATTACACATCACTTTGCAAGCCAGCATAATGTGACTTTTAGGCCTGATGTGGCCTGTAAACCATGAATTTCAGTCCAATGTATTAGGGTAAAACTAGACCCTCAAAATAAGGCCTTATGAAATATGTATTGTATTGTCTTAGAATAGAATACAATGAATAACATGTTAATGATAACATATTCACTTAGGATCTCACTTGGTGAAGGCCACAGGACTGAAAATGAATGAACGCAACAACCATGTCTCTGTTACTAGCGAACACAGTCATGGGTGGTACTGGTAACAAATAAATTCACTCTAAAGGCACCCTGGGAAATATGCAAATAAGGCTATAGTGTTAAAAGAACCACCACATTTTAAAGAACCATATGATTTAAGTTCTTTACAGAACCTAATAGATGTCTACAAATAACCATGCATGAAAGAGTTCTATAAAGAACCTTTATCAATGCAGTTCCAAAGAACCATAAATGTTTTTTTGCAGAACCTTTTATGATGGTTCCTTATGGAACCAATAATGGTTCTTTGGAGCTCTTGTTTTTTGTATGGTTCTTCAAAGAACCATCCCATTTAAGGTTCTTCAGATAAACTAAAATGGTTCCCCCATGACATCGCTCTGAAGAACCTTATTTGATTCCAACTGGAACCTTTATTTTTAGGAGTGTAGTCAGTAAAATGTCCTCAGAGGGCAAACTGATTCATAGATAGCGACAAGAGAAAGGCACAGAGGGTCGGTGTGGCTGAAGAGTGTCTCTGGTCTTGACGCATCTTTAAAATCAGCTTACAAGTCGACTTCCCCTTCACGGGTCTAAACAGTGTGTTTTAAGCTGATGTACTGTATATCCTCCATTCTTAAGCAAAACTTCAAAACTATTGTCTATTACTAATCCATTAGCAGGCCTAGTTGATGAATTTCAAAAAAACGATTAACAGGTAGGTTGTGTGGTGTGTGTCTGTGAGAGAAAGACAGAGTTATAAGAGAGAGTTTTCCCTTACGTCATTATCAAACAGTGCCTGTTGTGTGTGTGTGTGTGTGTTGTCTGTGATGCCTACTGTTACCTTGAGTGAGTCGAAGCAGGCGATGACTCTGCCGTTCTCCACGTGGCAGCTCCTGGCCGGGTGGGCGAACTTACACTCAGCGTCCGAGCGGGAGCAGGTACCCCTCTGAAACTCTCGACACACCTCTAGGGTCAGCCACTTAGTGTCCCGGCCCATGGCCATACTTCCCATACTGACTGCCATCACAGCCCCTCAGGACAGGAGGGGGCAAGTGGGTACGGATGTAGGGGTGGACAAAATTGGTAACAACAAAAATACTGATGCAGATTAACATTTACTCCTTGGCAAGATAAGAGGAGATGAGAATGTGTGAGAGAGAAAAATATCCTGGATACAAATGAACAGCTGGTCCTTTGGGAATTACTGAGTTTATGGGTATGTGGGCTTGAGTAGTTGTTTTTTCTTGGGTAAGTGCGGGTCCCAGATCCACTGGTGATGGGATGAGTTCTCAGAGCTAGACGGTGAGCAGAGGCCAGCTCTGTCTCATAGGAAAAGAGGAAATTGGGGCACCTCACCCTGGCATGCAAGGATTTGTAGTTCAGGCAGGCACTGTCCTAGAGCGAGAAGCACTCCAATGACAGCTTACACACTCACACAGAGTGCTGTGCTGTGCTCTACTCTCACCTAGTAGGGCTAGGAGCCTGTCCTACGCAGACAGCAGCAATACACAGCGGCAGCAGACCGCCAGCCAGCCAAACACTCCCACAGCCACAACACTAACAGCAATGGACCAGACCAGAGCGTCAGGCACCCACTCACAGTCTTCTTAGGCACTTTGGAGTTCCACTTCTTCCTCTTATTTTAGTCTCTTTCTCATTCCTCCCTCTCCATGTTCCTTCCTTCCCAGGCTGTCTCTTGTCGTTTATCCTTCAGTCGTCGTCATCCTTTTCGTTGACCTCTTCATGTGTCCACCCTTGCCGTAAAAACCTGTATTTGGGTTGCAAGAAGAGACAGATGATAAAGATTAGTTGGCAGCCAGTTTAAAATAAAAAGCAGAAAAGGGTTCCAGGGAAAGCAGGCATCCTGAAAGTAGAATATACCTATATTAGTATCCAACCTACACTGTCAACTTAAAACAGAGAGCGCAACCAAGATAGACTAACAACGCATGGGTGATGAAGTCATACGTAGAGAGGGAGAGATAGAGATAAAAATTATGGAAAGAGAGAAACAAACAGATAGAGCAGATGGAGGGAGGGAGGCTGCAATGCACAGGAAAGGGCAAGCTATGTCTTGATTAATAGATACAAGGAGAGAGAAGGTGGGATGGAGGCAGGGGGAGAGAAAGAGGGAGGGAACAAAGAGAGAGCTAGCAAGAAAGAGACGTCACTTTAAGTCTCATGAGCTTCGCAGAACCGAAAGTAATTGACCAACTTGACATGAATCATGCTGCATTGTGTGCTGAAAAGAAGTGTCCTTGCATCGCCACAGGCTGGCGGGCTGAGACTGGCTACCCACACCAGCAGTCTGTACGCTGGAGTCACAGACAGTTATGAATATGAGGGGACGGGGACGGGGAAAAATAGGAGGAGTGACACAGCTGTAGCTGCTGTGCACAGATCGAGGCCACAGCCAATCAGCTCGAGCCTTGCAGGCAGGCAGAGAATGTGTCTAGCCAATGAGGATAGAGGTTGCATATTGATCCCCCCCAACCCCCCCCCCATGCCTCATGCCAGGATTTAACGAGGAGAATAAAGCGTGTCTGACTCTAAAGCCCTCTCTTCCTCTCTCAAGTGTGTGTGCACCTGTGTCCTGCCCAAACAGAGGGCTTCACTACAGTGTCTGACTCACAGAGGGAGAGAGGGAGAAAGAGAGAGGGGATGATGAGAGGAGAGGTTGTGACTGTACTGCTCCCAGTGAGGTGTGGTAGGGTTAAGTGTGGGAAGGGGGCGTAATATAATGAAGACAAAAGCTGGGCAAATGTTTGGTGAAGGTAAAGGACAGGTAAGTAAAGAAGGGGTGCATCCTAATAAACCCACATAGAAATCCCACAGTAACCCACACCACCTGGTATACAGTAAGTCTATGAGCGAAACTGTGCAAACATTGGTACTACTAACTAGAATATATAACATGGTTGTAGACTGTAGACAGATGAGAAGAGAGAGCTAAGTGACAGGTGAATACATAACATGAAGGAGGCAGGAATAAAAGGGGAGAAAGGAAAATGAGTAGAAGAAGGGATTGGGGCAGATATTATCGGTCCACGTGTCTCATAGCGACAGACACAGACGGAAGGAGCAGTGGGGGGTGTGTATGTGTATGAGAGTGTTTCTGTTGTGTGTGAGAGTGCAGACAGAAAGCCATACGGAGAGCACTGCGGTGGAAGGAAAGAGAGAGACAGAGAGAGAGAGAGAGAGAGAGAGAGAGAGAGAGAGAGAGAGAGAGAGAGAGAGAGAGAGAGAGAGAGAGAGAAAGAAAAATAATGGGGAGAGGTGGGAATTGTATTAAAACAGTCATCTTCAGATACAAGAACAAAGGCACATACTCCCAAAAAAAGGGGTGAGAGATGAGAGGGTAGGATTGCTTGTTTAGGCATGCTGGTCTGTCTCACCGTCTCTCCCTCCTCCTCCAACTTCCTCTCATTCTGCTCGTCTGTCTCTTCCTCTCTCCCTGCTCCTCCACCTCTTCCTCTCATCCTAGCTACAGATCGATGGAGAGATTCCTCAGGGGGGCACAGGCTGTTCCTGCAGCCCTCAGCCCTGCCTATCCTGCATTCAGCCCCAGGTCATCTACCGTCAGGAGCCCCTGCTTACGCAGTACGTTTACACACCTACCTCCCTCAGAGCGCAGCCTTGCTCAGCAATATGCAGAAGCCAGTTAGTAGCAACGCTAGTGTTGTCACGATACCATAATTTGACTTTGATACCGATACCAGGTTTAGAATCACGATACTCAGGTGCGCAACTTTCACTGGGGACGGGGGGGGGGGGGGACATGTCCCCCCCACATTCTGAAATTGCATTTTTGTCCCCACCAGTTTTATAATTGTAATGTGATACAAAATGAGGCAACGGTGTGCTTTAGGACCATGCGGACGCCTCCGAGCGGTCAGATAGGCTGTTTGGAGACTTTATCCGACATACAAAACAAACTAAAAATTATAATAATTATGTCCCTCCCCACTTCTAAAACCAAAGTTGCGCCCCTGACGATACTGGATTCCATCACATTACTCGATACCAAAACGATAACAAAATAATATCAAGGGAAAAAAGAAGGCATATTAGCCAAAGTCTCAGAATGGCACTTGATACAGACATATATTTAGAATTCAATATCATTACATTTTAAATGTTACATTTTTTTATGTATGCATTAATGAAACAATTATACAATCATACAATCAATTTTACTTTATTTTTTACCAATCTAACTATATAACAAATGGTAATAATTTTTTTGAATGGTAAATCTGTAGTCTATTGAGAAACTGGGTAAATCAAGATGTAGCCTAGGCCTATTTACAATACAGGTGAATGCATTTTCAATAGGAGTGTGTGCAGGCATTGAGTTATTGACCTTGTTTTGGCTGATTTCATGGGTGAAAAACAATCTGTTTCCCTTCCATTTGTGACTTATTTTATTGTACTGATCAACAACATTTGCATAGAAGAAGCAATCTCTTATTTTATTAAAAGTGTATGCTGTCTCTTTAAGACCCATTCACACACACTCGAACTTTTTGGGATGTAGTCCACCATAAAAAAAAAGAAGAAGAAGAAGACAGTTCGAGGCTCGAGCAAAGATGATCATGACTTGGAGAGATGTGACGGGGAGATGAAGTGAATAAATAACATTTTTGGTGACAATCAGCTTTGAAATCAGCAATATTTTGCATTATGGTATCACTAACAAGATACTAGGGTAGTGAATTGATGTTAGCTTCAGCTGTAAGCTAGCAAGGAAAGTTAGCCTACAAAGCTGGAAGCTACCGGTATCTTCTTGCATTGTATGGTGTTCTAGCCTGTATTGGACATTGTTTTGCGAACAGTAATGCACAGTTTCAACATTTCTACATGCCGTGTTGTAATATTCAAGTGTGTTAACTTCAGAGTGCAGTGGTTCTTCAGGACAGAGCTAGCAATGAGTAAGTGGAGCAGGTACAGAGCAGGCACAGTGTTCTCGAGCTAGGGCTGCACGATTAATCGAATTCAGATCGAAATTGCGATATTGACATGTGCAATATCCATATCCCAAGAGGCTGCGATTTTCTCCTTTCTTTGATACAACAGAAACTAGACTACGGTGCCTCCTCCAATGAGATGCACTAGACTCCGTTAATTCAGTCTCTACATGCACAGAGCATGCTGACCAATCACAAATGGGCTCTCTCATTCTCTGCATGGCATGCACATGCTGGCCAATCACAATCGTCCCCGCTGAGAGCGTGCAGTTAAATGCTGGTGAGGAGAGAAAGGGTTTTTACCTCAAGCCCAAACCAAACGAAAGCGTGTTTTTTTAACGCATGTGAACAACCGTATACATGCTGGAATTAGAATGTACATGCTGTAATTATAATGCACGGTAGTGAATGAAGAAAACACACGGGCCATGATCGTCAACGGCGTCAACGGCGTCATGCGCTTCAAATTAGAAAGCAAGTCTATTTTTCTCACGTCTACGTGAAGCAATGCTGGTAAAGTGAGCGGATAAATTGCCAGACAATAGACTGTTTGTGCATTGTTATGTCTGGAATTGTGAGATGTATAGTTAAAAGTTTCAATTAGTGTTGGTAAGTTTAACTGCCAGTGCAAATAATACATAACTTTATACCTACCTTTGTTGATTTCGAGCACATGCAATAGAGAGAATACTGTTATGTACTGTAGACCAGCTAAATTCTTTATAAACTGCTAGGATGTATTAGCTACAACTCGCCTCACATTCATGAGCCAACATAACAGGAGGCTGTTACGATGGCACCCATAAGACATTGAAGGTCAGTCAAAAGGAACACACAACAATCATTCACAAGGGCTACATAGCGAACATAACAATTGTTCACTACTCTCGCGTTGACAGTGTTTCTTCGTACCTGAGTGCTGCTAGTGCTAACAGAAAAACATCCCGCAGACACATAGAAATCACAGAGGCTATCATTCTATCTATCACATAGCCAAATAGATGATTTACATAGCCAGAAAAGACGGCTTCAAGAAGATGATAAACAAGCTGGACAGGAGATACAAGATGCCATCTTGCACATATTTCTCCCACGTTGCCGTCCCAACACTGAATAACAAAATTAAGGGAGAAGTTGAAACAGAGCTCACACATACATGTTGATTATTACGCGACTACAACTGATCTTTGGTAGTTGAACAACCGAGCCCTACATTTGTTTGACAGTATCCTTTGTTGGTGAGGAGTTTCAACTGAAAGGTCGGTGCTTGCAAACATCATAGGTTACTTCCCCGGAGATCACACGGGAGAAAACATCGCTTTGGGGTTGCGAGAAGCTTTAGCCGCCTGGGTCCTGAATGAGGAGCAGGAAGTGTGCATAACGACAACGATGCAAATGTGGTAAAGGCCATCGCATTGAATGACTGGTCCAGACTCCAATGTTTTGGACACAGGCTGCACCTTGCATACTTATACATAATTACACAATCACAAGCTTCCTATTCCATCTGCAGCCTATGGCTGCCTGAATAAATAATTAACTTAGGTTATTTAAGAACTCATAATGGTAAAATAGGAACTCATAATGTTATTAATTAATGAATAAGTGCCTTGCTTATAGCACACTATATTTTGATGATCATGTAAAAATATGTTTGATAATAACTACTGTGGAAAGTATTCAGACCTTATTCTAAAATGAATTTTAGATAATAATAATAATCCTCATCAATCTACACACAATACCCCATAACTATTCAGATCCTTTGCTATGAGACTTGAAATTGAGCTTGGGTGCATCCTGTTTCCATTTATCATCCTTGAGAAGTTTCTACAACTTGATTGAAGTCCACCTGTGGTAAATTCAATTGATTGGACCTGATTTGGACAGGCAAACACCTGTCTACAGTACCAGTCAAAAGTTTGGACACACCTACTCATTCAAGGTTCTTTCTTTATTTTTACTATTTTCTACATTGTAGAATAATAGTGAAGACATCAAAACTATGAAATAACACATATGGAATCATGTAGTAACCAAAAAAGTGTTAAACAAATCAAAATATATTTTAGATTTTAGAATCTTCAAAGTAGCCACCCTTTGACTTGATGACAGCTTTGCACACTCTTGGCATTCTCTCAACAAGCTTCATGAGGTAGTCACCTGGAATGCATTTAAATTAACAGGTGTGCCTTGTTAAAAGTTAATTTGTGGAATCTATTTCCTTCTTAATGCATTTGAGCCAATCAGTTGTGTTGTGGCAGGGTAGGGGTGGTATACAGAAGATAGCCCTATTTGAAAAAAGACCAAATCCATATTATTGCAAGAAGAGCTCAAATAAGCAAAGAGAAACGACAGTCCATCATTACTTTAAAACATGAAGGTCAGTCAATACGGAAAGTTTCAAGAACTTTGAACGTTTCTTCAAGTGCAGTCGCAAAACCAATCAAGCGCTATGATGAAACTGGCTCTCATGAGGACCGCCACAGGAACGGAAGACCCAGAGTTACCTCTGCTGCAGAGGATAACTTCATTAGCGTTAACTGCACTTCAGATTGCAGCCTAAATAAATGCTTCACAGAGTTCAAGTAACAGACACATCTCAACATCAACTGTTCAGAGGAGACTGCGTGAATCAGGCCTTCATGGTCGAATTGCTGCAAAGAAACCACTACTAAAGGACACCAATAAGAAGAAGAGACTTGCTTGGGCCAAGAAACACGAGCAATGGACAACAGACCGGTGGAAATGTGTCCTTTGATTTCAGAATTTTGGTTTCAACCGCCGTGTCTTTGTGAGACGCAGAGTAGGTGAATGGATGATCTCCGCATGTGTCACGAATTCCGCCGAGACTGCTCCTCCTCCTTGCTCGGGCAGGCTTCGGCGTTCGTCGTCCCCGGAGTACTAGCTACTACCGCTTGATGTCTCGATGTTTGTTTGGCCTTGTCTTGTTAGTGCACCTGTTTCGTGTTATGTATTGATTAGGTCACCTATAAGTTTCCTTTAGTTTTGTTTGCAGTTGTGTGTGATTGTCCGCCTGTCCGTTGATATATTATATTTATACTCGTGTTGATAGTGTATTTACGCACTGTTTGCGTAATCGCTCGCCTCCAGTGTTTGAGGCCCGTTATTTTTGTATTGTCTTGTTGACTAGTAAAGTCGTTTTGACTGAGCTTCTGTGTCCTGCGCCTGACTCCAACACCGCATCCACATCAGCTTGTGACAGCATGTGTGGTTCAAACCGTGAAGCATGGAGGAGGTGTGATGGTGTGGGGGTGCTTTGCTGGTGACACTGTCTGTGATTTAATTAGAATTCAAAGCACACTTAACTAGCATGGCTACCACAGCATTCTGCAGCGATATGCCGTCACATCTGGTTTGCGTTAAGTGGGACTATCATTTGTTTTTCAACAGGACAATGGCCCAAAACACACTTCCAGGCTGTGTAAGGGCTATTTGACCAAGGAGAGTGATGGAGTGCTGCGTCAGATGACCTGGCCTCCACAATCACC